TCTACTTATATCGGCTCACCCCCTACGGAGGCTACCAAAGCTTGAAGATTTTATCACCCTAGTAATCAGCAATGGGTAATGGCCTTCATAAAACACAGTAATTAAATTGACTGATTTCATACTAGTGCCTTTTTTTCATTAGAGAGTTCTTATTTAGCCTACTTCAAAAATCCCTTTGTGAATAGTCGCTGTATCAGTCAAAATTCAAACGATGAGGGATGAAGAGTTTGTTCTGTTCAGGATTTCAGTTATTAAAGTAAAAAGTCAGAGTTCCTACTGTGCTGACATGGCTTTTTTTTCTTCTTTTTTTTCCTTTTTTTCTTTCTCCCCCTTCGTCATGCACGAGCTTCTTTTTTTTCAAAGGTCTCTCAAGGCCGAACATTATAAAACAAGGGGCAGAAGGGAAACAAATCAAGCCCCTAGTTTCRTAGGTCTTTACTTCTCAGCTGCCACTAGGAGATTCTGCTTTGTTAAAACTAGCTTTTAAAATCCTCTCAAATCTTCATAGCCAAAGCACCACTGGTGAAACYCAGGCTCTGCCTCACCATCTATGCCTGGATTGTTTTAACTACTGTATCTTGCTTGATCTTTGACTTTTGAATAAAACTTGATCTAAGTATCACCCCTATTATTGCTTACATTTACTTCGTAATACGTGTGTGTGAGCCGTTCACCTGCGTTCCAAGAGTTCTCACAACTCAGCTTAGATTTTAAAACGCTTTATGACAAGTCTCATTTTCACTTTTTGTGGAAAAAAACATCCCTTTCCTAACCCAGTACATACCAGCCTGGTGCTTTATGATGGTAGAAGAAAATCTGCGGGAAAGTATACTCAGATAACTACACAGCACAAAACCTATCTTTGTATTTCTCTCCTCCTGACTACAGCAGTTTTTAACTGCATAAAAGAGACACTGGATACGTTTTGCATAGAAAATGTATAGAGAAATACAGGGATCTCAGGGTAGGTATACAAAATACAATCCTGCTGCACGCAGAAAAATGAGTGACTTCAAGTCATGCTGCAATGTGAGAGTTGGGCATGAATATGCATCTTCCTCTGCCTCAAAACTTGAGTATCTCAGCGCAGCAGGTAAATGCTGCCCAAATCACAGGGAATTACTCTAGAGCCTCTCCCTCYGGCATCACGGAGTGCACACACTGGTGGCCGGGGCCAGCTCCTCCCGCTCAGGGCACACGCTTCGAGCTGTGCCCACCCCGGCACCCCACGCACCGCGGGGCGGAGGCTGGCGAGGGCCCTTCCCCTCCGCCAAACCCGGCAGCCAGGCACCACCRGTGACTTCTGTCTCTACCCCGAACGTTGAAGCTGTCTTACAGTACCAACCAATGGGTAAATCCAGCCCTCAGCGTTGTCCTTTTCCCCACCGGAATCGATGCTTTCCACTTCACTCTGAAGTGCTGCCTTTAAGACTTTTGCCACTTTGATGCAGCACATACAGAGCAGATGTGAGCCTGTCTGAACGCGCTTTTCACATACCCTGCAAAAAGCCCCGCACAGTGGCTGTACAGGGGCTTAAACAGACATTATCTTTTAAACCTAATACGTCATATACATGTAAATATGATGCTGATTTTATTGCAAGGAAGAAAGGACAGGGAGGAGAGCTGTGCAAAGCTTTGCCATGGAACTGCTTTCGTTGGCAGAGCCCAGGGGCAGAGTCAGCTTCCCCGGATGCTCTAGGGAAAAACCTTTCCCCACTTTTCTCCAGTTTCCCCTGGCATGCAGGTCATCCTTCAAAGGCACGACGAGGATCAACYGTCTGAAACCCTGCCAAACAACTGCAACAGTTTGTCCTGTTACTAGTTTAACAAAACAAACAACATAGAGCAACAAGCTTCTTGGGATTACAAACTCTCCGCCACAACCCTGTGCTGAAAACTTCTTTTCACTTTATATTTTTACCACAATCAAATAATAAATCATTGATTTACCATTTCTATCTATTTATCCAAACTGCAAAGAAATTAGAAGAGATTAATGGAAAAAAAGGAATAATGGAAGGGGGAAGAGAAGCTGCTGCTTTCACAAGCAAAGGCACAAAGAGCAATCTAAATGAGCCAGGCAGGCAACAAATGTGGTTGTTAGAGAATATTTATGAGCGCGGCAGGCGCATAACATCACTGAAGCAAGCACAATGGGAGCTGCTTTTTATAATATATATCTGCAAGAGGGACAGGTAGTTAGGGGTAACTATCAATCACCTGGACATGTGAATAAATCTACAGCCAGCGGTCCATGCTCTGCTAAAACCAGCTTTTGCCACGTTGAAAACTTGCTGCCCAGGAAATAAAYCCGAGGAGTCCAGAAGGTAACACCTATTCCGCACATCTCCACAATGATAATGAGAACAGAAAAGGTTTGGAAATGTAGATTGCACAGAGAGCAAAGCAGGCTTCTAGCAGCTGGTGAAATTCTGCGAGTAAGTGATCTAGGTTTAAGATGACATCACATTGAAACAAACAGATTTGTTTTCTTCCCAAATTCCCATTTTTTAAAGCAGTGGTTACTCATCTCCAAGAGCACATCTATATGGACTAAGCCTCTTCTCCCCTGGAAGTGTGTGTATAACTCCCATTAATGCTAATGGGCATAAAGCACAAGCATTGAGGGGAAAATAGACCCCTCACTGTGAAAATAAATGTGTTCAGTTATTTTCAGACACGATGCTGAAATCAAACAACTAGAAGTACACAGTCTAAGGAGATAACCTTATATAGTCTAGCTGAAAATGTCACCATTATTTTTAACTTCCTGGTCAGGGATTCTTGTCGTATTCTTCATGTTTCTGCTGTCGGTCACAGATACCATGGTTGGGTGACATGTCAGAACAAAAAGGGCCAAATCTTAAAATCTTACAGAAAAGAAACAGTCCTGATCTCAAACTCCTTGCCTTCACCAAGGGTGCAAGGCTATGTCTTGTTTTTCACTCAGGCCATATAATATTTTCTCTTTACCCCAAAATTCTAGGCACTTTCCCATTCTCCAGAAGAGATCTTTAACAGAGTGGTAACTATAACAAGGTAGAAAATCCTTTCACTTCCATGATTTGTTATCTTCCTTAATGATTTGATATTGTAGTATGATTTCTACTTTGACCAAAATTCATTGAATCAATTCTGCTTGTTCAAGTAGGCAAGAAAATTTGTTAATGCACCGATGTGAGACTCAACGACACTGTGCTTTATTACAGTGCAACAGCAAGAGCACATCTACCCAGCTCTTTCCATGACGGAACCAACTTGCCTATGGCTAATCTAAAGAGATGTTTGGAGCAATCATGAGAAGAGTCAAAARCGGGGGCAAAAAAAAAAGAAAGTCAATACAGCTCCACTGCCTTAGCTCCTTCCAGCACCCCGAGGGTCGCTCACGTATTCAGTGTGTGTGTAAGTGGCACATGCCACACCAGGCACTATAGGGGGGAGGACATTTATCTACTTGAAAAAGTCCCTATGGAGCTGAGCTGGAGAGGCTGCGGGTCCGATGAGCAGAACCCACGTCATGCAGTGCCGATCAGGACGCAGCCAAGCAGCGACTTTGGAAGGGCCCTCTTCTCTTTTTCAAGTCACAGGAGCCTGATTTTCTTTWGATCTGAGCGTATGTATCACTGTGACTCATTTTGCAAGTTGAATTCTGATCGTTCAGTGAAAAGGCCAGAACTTAAATATTACTTCTTTTGCAGAGAACACTAAATGTATTTTCTCCTGGATGAGCTTGCAGGGATAAACAATCCTGTGAATGGTTTGGGGTATGATATGCAAAAAGCGACACTTCCACAGCCTGTCTAGACTCCCAGACAAGATCAGACTGTGTTGTCATYAGAAACATTTCCATAGCCTGTCATATTACTTGGGAGAACAGAAAACCCACCATTTCAGAAGAATCATGCAAAAATAAAGAAAAATAAAGAAAAACAGACTGACCTGCCAGTGCTGTAGTGGAAATTTGAATATAATAACCTTACACAATTTAGAAATTATGCTAACAATACAGCTAGAAGTTTCAGCAAACATTTGTGAAGAAAGGCAACTCCTGCACAAGTGAATGCAATCCAAAAATGTGAGTCATGCACAAGCAATTTTGCTATGGGCCATAAAATCACTTTATACAAGTTACAGATAATTCTGTATGTATTCTATAATGTTCCTCTACTGTGTAGAGATGGATATCTCTGTATCCTATCACAGATAATGATGGAAAACAAATTCTCTACATAAAAGCCAAGTGCTCAGAGATTCATCCTCAACTTTCCAGGGAACTGCAACGCCGACAGAACAAACACTTCTCACCGTATCCAGCACAGAGAGGCAGGCTCCCTCAGTGCCAAACACTGCAGTTCAGATGGGTTTTAGGGTACGTAGTGAACTGGGAGCAGCCATAGCCACAGAATGTACATCCTGCTGCTTCTCAGCTCCTACATGTTCTCTTTACCACCCACGTATCCCCAGTCCTGCAGAATGGCACCTCTCATTTTCTCCTGCTTGCACCTTCACGCAGGCTCAGCGGTGTCAAAAGAGCAGGTTTTTCTTTACATGCCATGCTGAGAAACTCTGCACCATCAAGCTAGTCATGAAGTCAGAGACATTACAATATGAAAGTGAATCCTACATAAGCAATTTTAGAGCAACACATCTTCTCTTTGCAACTGCATCGTCTTCTTTATGTTCCTTTCTAACTTTCTTCTAACTGTACTCAAGGAACCACTTCTTAAAGGAATTAAAAATGGCTAAGAAGTTTTGAACACCCTCAAAACAGACTTCCCTCACRTGACTTTCACTGCTTACCTCTTTGCAAAGTACCTTTACAACTACCATAGTGTTGGCAACCTGAAAGTCAATCGGGTTTCCACTGAAAGCTATCTATCTGGCACCTTTTCTGCATTTGTCCCGTTGGTATGTGACCATGTCTATGGTATTTTCTAAAACTTGGAAACTTTCTCAAACCAGGAGCTGAGGCTTGAAAGAAACAAATAACCAGGTACCTCTCCAACATCATAGATCCATATGCGGCCTTCTGAGTCGCCAACTGCCACCTCCTTGCCAGCCTGGGCCCAGCGGACACGGTTGAGGGCAGAAGCTCCTTCAATTGTCACGCTGGCGGTGGGAACCTGTTGAAACAATAGCAACAGAAACGACAATAAAACCCTGCTCCCTGTGGCTCTACAGGTCAGTTTAGAACGTTCTGTTTAGCTGGCTAAGTCACAGSTCCTTTGACACTGCAGAAAGTAACCTACAACCCCCGGGGGAGGGAAGAGAAAAAAAGAAAAGGTTCATTGTTTCTCCAGTCACATGTGCTAAAAAGAGGGAAGACTAAGGGATTGCTTGGAATGGGTTGGGCAGATTTTTCTACAGTTATGGGCAGCAAACAAACCATTTTTTTAACTTTGGAGACACAAAAGCCACATCGGTTTTCTTGAAAGACACTGTTTTACGGCCAGGAATYGACTGACCGGGAATCATTTCAGGCTTATCTTGGGTTCCTACCCCTCACTTGGACCCAAATAACCTGATTGATCCTAGAAATATACTAATATSCCTGCTGATCTATCCTTGGAACTCATACTCAAGCCTGTGGCTAGATACAGAGGTCAAAGCTCTGGCATTATTTAGGAAGTGTCCTGAGAAGCTGATCTCACTTTTATAAACTCCTGTATTCCCACAGTTCTCTTTTATACTTGTCCCATATCCCCAGGAACCACGTCCTGGTTTAAATATACCTCTATGCTGTTTAATTCCCCACCACGGCACCCCAACCAAGCTGACAAATCAGCAGTTGATCCACAAGAACACAGGAATTCCAGTGGGGATGACTAGAGCAACGAACATTATCGTTAAAGTGTCCGCGGTCTCTACAGGAATGATGCCATCACAGAGGTGCTGGAGGAGGAAGCATTTGTGTGGGTGCTTGTCCCATATCGATGTATTACCCCACTGATTTAGGTCACTTTGTAACCTGCAAGTGCACTAAAGCTCCACCAAGGCACGTTTAGTAACAGCATCTGCTCAGTTTGGCGTGACAGGCTCTCACCAAAGGTTTCTGTGTGTCCAGGTCAGGGCAGATGGAACAGGAAGGGAGTTGCAAAAGTGGCTCCTCCACCAGCCTAATCCGCAGCAACAGGTCCCTGTCACCTAAGGACGGGGAGCGTCCCAGTTGTGTGACCAGACATGGAACTGGGGAATGGCCCGGGCAGGAAGAGGCACCTGGATAGGAACCAGAGCCTGGGCAGGACTGAGAGCTACTCCTGCCCTTGTTGTGGGCACAAGGCAGACAAGCAGGAGACAGAAGCTCGAGAGCAAGATCAATTTTGGAGGCTGAGAAACTACCATGGTTAACAAAACCGGTGTCTGACTAGCTTCATCTCAGCTTTTGGCCTGTAGTTTTATATTGTCGGTGCAAAGCTGCACAGGAAAAATACTTTTAAGACAACATGTTTGTATTCCACACCGATCTGCCTCTTCTCCTCAGCTCTAAGGCCTTCAGTGCATCACACGAGGTCGGAGGTGGCAGCCGGCAAGCCCTCTCCAGAGCAAGKCTTGGAAAGCTGCGCTGCTGCCGGGCCCCTCTCCCTCTGGAAATGTCTCCTTTCCGTGGCCCTGACTGAAGGCTGCAGAGCCAGGCGGGCACGTCCCGGCACAATGGCCTGGATGGCTGTACCACCCAGGCCCACAAAATATCTTCTTTGCAAAATGCTTTGGGAACAAAGCTGGAGAGCAGAGCAGAGACTGTCCTCCTGCTTGGAAGAAGTGAATYGGAGGCACGGAAGGTCCTGGCCAAGGCACCGTCACCGATAAAAGCCAGCGCCCGCCCTGACTCCTCATCCCAGCCACGCTGGTGCTTGGGGCCTTCCAGTYGATGGCTTCAATGTGACATCGGGTCATTGACCCACGACAAAAAAATCACAATAAAAAAAACAGACAAGTCTGACTCCTGTAATGACTGATTTATAAAAATAAATAAATAAAAATAAGAAAAAAMCAGCCCATCCAAATTAATTGCATAGCATTTGGAAATGTTATGCAAACAGCAATAAATGCTATATTTTGAGAGCACTAATCCACTAACCAGCTACATTTCCCAGAAAACTGCAGATGAAAGCTATTTGTTTCAAATGAAGGGCCCACGGCATGTTTAGAAGATCGACGCGGAGTTTGCAGAGGAGCTCCGGAAGGCTGAACTCTCTCGCAGCGGAGCTGGTTCTGCTGTGGCAAACGCAGCCCTCGCAGGGCTCACACAAACCCACACAGCAGCACGCCGGCTGCACGCACAAAACCCGAGCTGTTTTTAAAAATCCAGTGCTTTGGTACAGTCCTATTTCTGCTCCACAAAGGTGTCTAACAAAACAGAAAGTAATCATGGAATAGTTGTTTAAAATCTACATAAAAAGCCTTTCCTCCAGTGGCATAGAGAGAAGTACAGTCAAACCCTATTATCTTAAAATAGATTTCCCTGCTTTGAATAGTGATAGGTTAAATTACACACACTTATTTTAGAAATCAAAGATTTGAGCTCATTTTATAATGGCGATGCAGTAGCACTATGTTTTTAAAATTATATTTAAATACTTTATAAATCTCTAAATTTGGTGCTTGTCAGATTTTTAACCATTTTGAAATTAGAGTTTTAAGAGGTATCAGATTGAGAARGATGTACTCAGGAAAAACTTGAACAAGAAGAATATACTTTTTGTAGTTTTCATGCTTAGCTAGTGTCAAAACCTACTTGTAAATACATCTTTTATCCATTTCTAGGGATAAACATGATCTTCACACTTTCAAAGCAAAGGTATGACATGAAAAAGAAAAGTATGCTTGAAAGCAGCAGGATAGAGCAGAAATATGCAGATTTATAAATCAATGTAATGTTAGTTTATAGATAAATGAGATTCATCAATAACCCAGCGACCTTATCTAACAYTGACTTAAAAAGAAATTTTATTAGATATATATGTAAGAAATCATTGACTTCTATTCTGAAATTACATGCAAATCTCCCATTCCCCTCCACAGAAGTTTGCAAAAGATTGAAGAAGTGGAGCAAGGTTTTGCTTTTTAAAGGTTTTATATATATATATATGTATATATTCATTTAACAAATATAAATCAAAAATGATATCTGTCATGGCTATTATAAAAATAATCTCTGGTATCCAAAGATCAAAATGGAGCGCACCAATACTCTTGTCATTGAGAAATGAATAATTAGAGAAATTAAATCTGTGGTGGAAGTCAAACGATTTTCATTATTTTGATCAGAAAGCACCTAGAACTCGGGCAAAACGTTTTTAATAAATTTGGAATAACACTAGTGGYAATTGTGTTACAGTTCAAAAATTTGAAGGTAGCTTATTATAACTAAGCCCGGGTATTACTAGTTTACAGAATAAGCCACATTATTATTTAGATGTTACTTCCCCAATTAAACAAAGCCAGGTCTCATTAAGAACAATCATATTTACTTCTTATACAAATATCTTTTATGAATAGCTTGCAATTAAAACATTAATATACCTGTCATTTTCTGCTCTCTCCATAAATACTTCGACATCACGTATCTGACAGCTAAACCTAGCATGTGCACAGCCGTTTCCAGATTTTTTATTGCAAAGATGAAGTGCTGACAAAGAGTTTTTCTTAGTGAACAGGCAAGCATATTTTTGGTTGTATAATCAAGTATGGAAATCTTGAAAATTATAAACTAATTACGACCCACCAGACGGAAGGTCAAAGCAAACAATGATCACTTTCAGTTACGATGTCKAGAAGAACTGCTTTAAGTTCTTCTTTTCTGTGGTACTTCTGTGCCTGACACTGCTTCTCTTGCATAACAAAACCACTCATAGATTCAGATTCTGCCAGTTTACAGTTTCTAGAGATTTTTAATTTTTTCATCAGTGCTCAATAAGGAAACCAAATGGTACTTCTTCCTTCAGCGATGCAAATTCAATTCTTATTAAAAAATGCAAAGCTRTAATAATACCATGGAGATAATTCCAGCCTGATCCTCACATGACAGCTGATTTTGGCCTCTAAGAACAGCAATTTCGTGTGCAATCCAGGGTGGCCTTACATGCAAAAGAACTGCAAGATTGAGCTTGAAATTAATCTTTTTTTTTTTGTTGTTGTTGATGTTCCCTTGTGTTTATATGTAAACACTGAAAATACATCAGCAGTTTTCAACATACAGCCTTATTATTGACGGGAAAGGGATCAAGCGGTCCATACTGATTTTCTGGAAAGAAATTAAGGTCTCATTGAATTAAATGGCAAAACATCAGTTGATTTCAGGCAGAGCAGCAGTTCAGCCCTGGTATTTGGGGGGAAAGGGATTCTTTTTTTTCTTCTTCTTAAAATGCTGGGTTTTATGCTCTGTGTTTAAGCCTGCATTAATGAGAACACCTGAAGGATATGTCCCTCCCTTCCCAAAATAAATTCCACGGAGACTCCTCCTGTATATCCTCCAGCTGTATGTGCTCTAATTAAAAAGGCTGCGCTGCTTCCTGCTCAGAGGACTTCAAAAGGCTCCACTTGACAACACCGTGTGCCGCGCTGGTTCCTCTTACCTGTCCATACTTATTTATGGCAAGCACCATTCACTGGAAACCACAAACTGCGCCTGTGTTTTGCTCTGGCTGAAATGTATATCATGTTTACATGAAAGGCATATTAATGAACAAACTAATCTCAAAGGAAAAGACTGTAGGAAACAGGGTGTGTGTGTGGAGGAAATACTGCTGTTTGTGCTCGGCATCTCTTCTTTCTTGAAAATGAAAAGAACCTGTCACTTAATGCATGGCCCTGTTTTGATGCTGCACTTCTGCTTTGTTCTTAATTTTATATGGAATTGAGTAAAAATATGCATGATTTTGGTTATGGAAAAATATTTCAATTCCTATTTAGATTGCTGGTTAAGTATGGCATTAGGCAATGCGACAATTTTCCTCAAAATTGTCTCCAAATCAGGCAAAAATAATGTCAGCACAAATCTACACTGCTTTCTTTTGATCTGAAATAACAGGAAACGAAAAAGGTGGCCTTCATCATATTTAGGAAGTGACTTATAAAAACAAACCAACAAACAAAAAACAGTATTTCCCATTCTGCGTCGTCG